AGACAGTATTTCTAATGTCAACGGGTCCTAGGACACTTTTCTCACTATCATATATACATGAAACTGTGACGCGAGAAATTGTCTGTCGAATGGTATATCTATCGTAGTGGCTAGTGGACAGGTGTGGAGCACAGGATCGTCAGTGTTGAACAAAGAAGGGTAGAACTTTGGTTTCAGTAAATTCGACCTAATTTTTTCTGAGAGCATTTCTAAGATCTGCCGAGTGGCTAGAAACGTTCTCCTGTTCATTCTGCATCTAACCATGTATGTGTCGATGGAATTCAAGCAGGGGCCGATTCCATCAAATAATCGCCCCTGTCCTTTATCTGTGGCTCGTCGAAAACTTGTTCGATAGTTCTTAGAATTTACTTTTTCTTGGTTACTCGATGAGCTCTACTCGCCTTTTGAAAATTCAGAGAAGGTGGATTTTCTCCGCTCTCAAGAATAGGTTGTATGTAAATATTATGGATGTTAGTCTACGTGAGCAAAAATTTTTTGTAAAAGTTCCAGACTCAAACTGCCCCAAAATGTTTTTCGATAGCTCGTGTTAATCTGAAAAAACCTGTCGTTTTCTAGAAGTTTAACTTGCACTGAGTATAGAATTGTTTTAATGTGTCTAGAGAAAAGAGTGTTTTGTAAAATCCTACCCAGGAGTTACCTCATTTGGTCCGATAGTTCTCGTTTTAGTTTTCTCATACAAGATGCCTGTTGGCCTGTTGTTAAAATAAGGGTAGGTCTATTGACACCCCCGGGGTGGCAGCAGGGAGCTATTGACAGTTCTAAGACTGGCAGCAAGAGGCTATTGACACTCCATCGAACTGGCAGCAAGGAGCTATTGACAGTCCAGAATACACTTGTACACTGCAAAAATATATTATTTAATAAGGACCATCATCTCCAGGTAACATGGAAGTACTCCAGTGGCTCACTCTCATGTACAGCCACCCAACCCACCCCAAATCTCCTCTCATAGGCCGTCAATTTCAGAACTAATTCAACATAACACTTTGAATAACACATTTATGCAGTGTGTAAGTGCATTTTGGATTGTCAATAGCTCTTGCTGCCAGTTCGATGGGGTGTCAATAGCTCCTTGCTGCCAGTCTTTGGACTGTCAATAGCTCTTTGCTGCCACCCCAGGGGTGTCAATAGCCATTCCGTTAAAATAATCCGTGACATTGCCACTCTCTCTTTTGTGATGCAATGACAAAATGCCAGTTCTGAGTTTTTCATCTTTTCTTCCTCAGCCATTGTATGTTTGTGAACCGAACAAACTAATATTAGTCATTTCCGCAGCTCAGTCCTAGCTATCGATGAAAACATGAAAATGCGATTATCTTTGATTGAAAACAAAGAAAAGTTTTTGATTGAGTTTTTCTTTTTCTCAATATCTTTAATATCAATTTACTTTTTCTTTCCATGGTTTAAACTATTTATTAAGCACATGAAGTAGAAAAAAAAACATTTTGCTTTTATTTTCGTTTTAGAAACTAATTATTAAATATAATAAGAAAACGATTAGTCTAATATGTTTTCAGAAATGCCAGTGTCGATTAATATAATGTTTTATTATAGATTTGATTTGTAAAATGTCGTCGAAAAAACATAAGACAAGCAAATCCACAGCGAAGAAAGTTGATAAAAAGCACTCATGTGAGATATCGGATCTAACCGAAGCTGGGAAGACACAAAAAGAAGCAAGTGATTCTCATAATCCTAATCATTTCACCAAAGATTTATCAACTATTGCTGATGAGGGTAGTGAAAATTTATCTGTAGAAAACATGAATGACATTAATAACTTGTGCTATCAGACAAAAGGTTTTCCGGATAATTCACATGGAACATATTTCGAAATGAGAATGTTTATTGTATGTTGTATGAATATTATGAAAAAAAATTATAAAAATTTTCTTCTTGCATCTGGTGTGGAGTATGCGGATGGTTTTGATGATATTGTTCTTATACATAATAATTCTATATTTATGGTACAAGTAAAACATGGTCAAGTAAATCAACAATATCGAATGGACGATAATCAATTTAAAGGAGGAAAAGGTAGTCCACTGGGTTTGGAACAATATTTTCAAGCGTATATTAATGTGAAAAAAAACATCAAAATGGAACAAATTTCAAAGTTATTAACAGGAGAACCTATCAATATTAGCATGGTTATATGTACAAATATGTTATTTGAAGATAATATTCTAGAAAAATATTTTGAAAAAATTCCTATGAATGATGAACATACATCATTATTAAAATTAGATAATGAATATGAATATGTATACAAATTTCAACAATCTATTATTGATTATTTTCAAAATGATCCAACAAAATGCAGCGTTAATCCTAAAAATAAAAATAAACAGACAAGTGATGGTTTAATTTTAAATAATAATGACGTTGATAAAAATAAAGTAAATAATATAAAACATAAACAGCAATCATACGTTAATTTATTAAAAAAAATTTTTGCTGATGATAATCCAGAAGATGTTGCAAAATTTTTTTCTCATACAATTTTTGCTCTTGGTTTTCCTGATGAACAAGAGACACTAGATAATCGACTAAATAACGAATTAAATAATCTCTGTAATATGAACTTACCTAATAGAAATGAAAATTTGATAGATAAAACATTATTAGTTAAATTTTTAGGATGGATGTTTAATCGATTTTCAAGAATAAGAAATACACATAGTTGTACATATCTTACTAGTAGTGAATTAAAAGAAGTTTTTCAATGTTTAACCGAATCGACAAATATAAATGATAATCGGTTTTTAACTGGAATCACGTATGCATTAAGAACAAATATTGAATCTTATAATTATCAAATCATTGAAAATGAAATAATTGCTCCAAATTTACTTGATTTTATTGTTACCGATAATCAACCATATTTTTGGTGTAGTTCAAGCTCGGACAACAATATTCGATTAACTACTGTACAAATATACAATTATTTGTTAAACAATTCTGTAAAAAATATTTTTGTTTGTTGTTCATCAATGATAAGTAATAATCATATTCGTGATACACTTATTAGTGTTATGAATGAACAAAAAAGTTATCTACTTATTGAGTGCAATACAAACATTAATTATGATTTTTTGGAGAAACAAAAAATCTCAAAAATTATATTTATTTTACAAGACAAATCGGCTTCTAGTACAGAAATTTTACCACCATGCTATGAAAATTTTCCTGATCTTAAAAATAAAAACATTTCATTTCAAGGTAGAGAAATGAAATTAAATGATTTTATTAACAATGTATCATCAAGCCATCGACAAAAATTATTTTCTCTAAATATTTTGGATAGTTTATTATCATCGATTACTTCAATATCTACAATTGGTGAATCCATAGTAAAACCAAATAAATTTGCCTTAGATATTTATATAAAACGTCGATTAAAACAAAAGGATGAAATTGACTACATTAGTGAAGATGATTTTCGTCTTAGAAGTTCATTGACAATTGTTAGTGCCGAACCAGGAATGGGTAAAACAACATTTTTAAATCATAAATTACATATTATTGAACCAGCATCAAACATTAAGTATTTATGGAAAATTCGTATTAATGTTAGCAGTTACAAAATTATAATTGATAATGTCAAAAAATTAGAGTCAACAAAAGATGTGATTGCATTTCTCTCACTTTTAGAAGAAAATGAAATTAGTAAACATTTTCTAGAACAATATTTTAATAAACTATCTGATCAACACAAGTTATTTGTTATCATAGACGGTTTTGATGAAGTTAATCATGATGATCAAATAAAACTAATAGATTTAGTCAAATGTTTAATTAAGAATGATATGATTGTTCTAATAACAACTCGACAAAATAAATTACATATTCTTGAAGAAAAATTTCAATCATCATCAATATTTAGTTTTGAAGATATGTTAACAGAAGATCAAGAAACGTATTTAATAAACTACTGGCGTTTAAATCATAATTCTAGTACTGAAAATGAATTTAATTATCAAAATGCATGCTTGGATGCACGAGCAGGGAAATTAATTAAACTTTTAAATCAAAATATAACAAAACAAGAAAGATATTTACTGGGTATTCCATTAATATGTTTTATGTTAGCTGAAGCATATCCACCTTTAACAAATGAAGAAGAATTATCAATTAGATTTGACGTATTTAGTTTATTTCAAACATTTGTAAATAAAAAAATTGAAATATATTTTAATAAACAAAAATTACAACAAATCGACAAAGTATTACAATCTATTTTTCATGGATACATAATTAAAATTTATCAATGTCTTAGTTTTTATTATTTATTTCAAAATTTAACATTTAATACTGGTTATAAAAATCTACTTAATTTGTTTAATGATAATTTCAATTTTAACGAACAAATGACAGAGAAATCATTGTTATTTTCAATTTTAACTGATAATGATGTTGAATCTATTAATAGAATTGGTATTGCTGAAGTTATTAATAATGAAAAAATTCAATTTACACACAGAACATTTGCCGAATATTTTGTTTCAACTCTCTTTTTGAGTCTATTATCATCGACTAATGATTATTATTACAACATTTGTAAAGAATTTTTAATATATCAAATATTTAAATCATCAAATGAACAAATTAATTTTTTTATGAATACAAGACAACGGACAAATGATATAGTTAATAAAAGATGGAACGAGATAAAAGAAAAACAATTAATTAAATACAATTCAAAATTTGTATTTTATATGAAATTTGAGGAAGAAAAATCTCGTTTACAACGGCAAGATTGTATAAAAACTATCAAAGATATTAGATCAACATATTATTGGATAAAAGATAATACCAGAAGTGGTAATAAAAAATCTCGTATAATTAATACGTACAATATTTTTCGAATTCTTCAAAATAAGTATTCAAAATCATTAGAACATCTTGAATACAATCATTGTCAACAAGATATACGTCTAATTGCTCAGATATTAAAGCATGAAACTATTTGTGATAAAATAAAATGTAATTGTATTAAAATTCTTGATATAATTATATCTCAATTATTTTATTTAGATAAAGAAAAACGTCACAAAATTCTTAATTTAATCGATCAACTAATTACTAAAGATCTTGATATAAAATCATATTCTGTTATTAATACTTGGTCAAAAATTTATGATGAAGTTGATAAAAAATTAACATTATCCAATTGTACAGATAACATAGAAGAAAAGTATCAATGGTTATTCTTATATGTATTTCCGAACTTGTTTACAAACTTAACCTCTTCATCATTATGTAGTAAACAATATACATTTAAAGATATGTTAAATAATAAAGACGGAGAAAAAATATTCTTGTCTGATGTATTAGTTTCAAAAAAGAAATCATTTCTTGAAATTGGGCAAACATCGGAAATGCAAGAATTACTTACAGTAGAAAGGCAAGAACAATTACAACAATATAGCCATTCCCCTTTTAAAGCAGTGTCAAAGCTTAAGGAGTTACACACGACGGATAATCTATTAAACACAAATCAATTTAATGAAACAAGTCGTAATATAGGCATTTCACTTCTCAACACTTATGACTCTTCGGATAAAAACATGTTTCGTATGAAAGATTTAGCGACACAAGCATTCTTTGATAAAGATGAAGAGCATTCAAATTTTATTAACACATATTTTCAATTTCAACATTTATCTATTAATCAATTTTTACAAGAATTTGAAAAGAAATTAATTCAATCGATAAACGCTTTTTTTGAATTTCATCGTGATCAACTCGATTTTCTAACATGTTTTATTGCTGATTATTTTAAAGACTTTGTTTCTATATTTCACTTCCTTACACCAGAAGTATCAATATATTTAATAGAACTTTTAAAGAAAGTACGTAGTAGTAAAGGTATACTATGGCCATCTTCTGTTACTGCAGCTATAATACATCCATTTGCTTCATTATATGTAAATGAAAAAGATCATTATCTTCAACTACAACATATCGATAAAAATGCATTTATTTATTTTACAAGTTATGTTTTTATTTCAACAATAAAATGTCAAGATTGTAGAATGATTTATGATGGTGATTTCAAAACAATGATCGATTTTATTGAAATATGTTTAAATGGTGACGATTGTCGATTATTAAAAAATACTATCTTATTATTTATATCATTTATTCATGCAACAGGGATGATATTAATTGAAAATGATTTAGATAAACATACATTTATTATTTATCATCCGGATGATTTATTTCAACAAGAAATAAAAATAAATGATTCAAAAACAATAAAGTCAATAAAAGATATAGTACAAAAACCTATAGATTCTTTTGAAGAACTTTTGCAAGATTGTAAGATAATTCCATCGTAACATTCCTATTTTCTTGTTAGACTATAATTAGATACTTTTTATTTTTTATTTTTTCTCACGTCAGTTTTATCTCAGGCAATATATGTATACCACCTTCATTTGGTAAATTTATATGTACTATTCATACTTTTATTACATTAACAGAATAAAAGATAATCTGACCATCAACGTCTCGAAAGCAGCCACAGAAAAAAAATTAAAATAAGTCAATAAATGCAGTAAAAGTTAAGGGTACCCCACCCCCCTTTTCTGACTCTGTTGGAAACTGTGGAAGCCAATATCGTATCGGGTTCAGACTTTTACCAGAGGTCAATCATGGAAAAACAAAATTGATGTATTTTTGCTCAGACTTTTGCGTCATGTTTTTCTGTGAGTTTTCTAGAAAACTCTAGTTTGTATCAAGTCACATTACGATCTCTCGAAAAAATGATCCGATTAAGCTCAAATTTTGACCACAGATGGTTCAGACTCTATCTCAGGTTCTAAATTTTTTTATATCGTAGAACGGGTACAGATAAATTATTTTTGAACTTGAAGAAATTCTAAAAATGTTTATTTGAAGAGAAATGAAAATTATCGTTGAAGACAATTACAAGGCATTTTATTTTTCTGTTTTTTTTCATCCAACGGTTTAAGGGGGATCAATTCAACGATTTTTTTTAATTATTTTGTAGAGCGCATCGAGTTACATAGATTCTGATAGTTTTTTCAACAAAGAAAGTTGAATTTCCTAAAGAATTTTTTTCTATAGGTTTAAAGTGTCATTTTGTCTCTTATTATTAAAAGTTTTCTTCAGAGACGACTTATACGCTGCAGCGGAGATAGTAACCGTATATTTGATTTTTTCCGAAATTTTTTAAAAGTTATGAATATAAAAGTTTTTTGACTAAAACTAGGTTAAATCTAAGATTTACGAAATTACTTTTCTAAAAACGGAATAGGTATTCATATCAACCCATGCAGTCTTCTATTCTGAACATTTCTGCTACTACCGAAACGGAAAGGTCGCGCCGGTTGCCGTTTTTCAAATAACTTTTTAACGAAAGGTCTTAGCGGCCTGCGGTTTTCACCATCGTATAGAGGACGCTTAAAGCCATATTTTTATAAGCAAAAACAAGTTTCAAAAAAATTTCACAGCCTGGTTTTTCAGGAGATCTTTGAAAAACCAGGTCAGAGCTTCCT